AATATCTCTCTGCGTCTGTTCGGGCTCAGGGCCTGCGGAGGTCGGTTGAGGCTGAACGCGTTGGTTAGCTTGGAGCGCTTCGTGCCAAAGAGAAGCCCTTTCCCCTAATTTCCAGCGGATGAGAAGGGCACGAGAGAAATGGAGGGATTGGCGGGGTCTCTTGCCTCTGCCAAACTGGTGTAACACAGCTTTCGGAAACATGAATAGCTCAAGCCAAGCAACACGCGCAACCTGCTTCTCGGGGGAATCCGAATCCGTTACCCATGCGTCTCATCGGTTCGTTTGCAATACTCTAACCAAATACTTACCAAGTTCTTCTCTAGCCATAACGACCAATGACTTAGGATAGACCTCCTTCGTGAAAACCACTTGGGTGAAAATGTCTTGTATAGATGGGAGAGGAGAAAGGTCTTCTGATGAGGCACATACGTTGATATTGGAAGTGAGGAGCCTAGGCCAACATCGAGGATCCCTTCATGACGTTGTATACTAGCAGTCAGACCACAAACCCTACAACAACCGAGCCTTCGATCCCGGATCCATTATTGAGATGGTCGTCCCTCCAATTCGCCGGAAAGATGAAGATCAACGTGGGCCATATATCGAAATTATATATCTGAAATTCGAGAATCCCAAGAAGTAATGAAAGGAGATTCTCTCCCAATATTCTCCCACCACCACGACGCGAACCCTCACATATAGGTATACCCCTATGAGATGAAGGCTTAAGAATTGAAATCTAAAACCCATAGAATTATAAGAAATTAATCGTATAGGCATTGATCAAATCTTAAATCCTGTGCCTTTAAATCCTATAGAATTTGATGGATAAAAACCTAAGGTCTAGATATATATACCTTCCATATTAAAATCTTTGATCCTTATAGTGCCCATAAGATTGTAGGATTCTGATCCTAAACGATTCAGGATTAAGGTCTAAATGTCCGAATCTTAAATCCTTAAGATTTAATTTCTATGGAATTAGACGATTAAATCTTATATCCTAAATCCTTAAATCTTAATTCGTTAAGATTTAAATATACTTATCGATATAAATTTATATCCCTGAATCTTAAATCCTATAATTATCAACCTTATCCCTATAAGATATAAATATTAAAAATTTGCGACTTAATTATTTCATCCTATACGATTGCGAGACTTCCCTTAAAAACCCTACATTCTTAATCGATAAGATATAAAAGAATAATCTTTGAAATGGCAGGGAGGAGGGGGTAGGGGTTGGGGGAGCCAAGATTAGATATATAGAATATCAATTCATTTATATTTCAATATCTGAATCTTAAATCTTATTCCTTCAGGCATCAGAATTAAAATCCTTCGGAAAGAAATACCGGAAATGAGAACCGAGAAGAGATATCCATCAAAGAACAAAAGGAACCCTGAAAATTTAACTCTATAGGCTTAAATTAATATGCCCGAATCTGAAATCCTAAATCTTTGAATCTAAACCTCATAATCGCAGAAAAATTTTTTAAAGATCTAGATATAATTATCGATTTATATTTGAAGATCTAAATCATAAATCTTTAAATACCAAGAAAATCAAGATTACAAAGATTCGGAAGAATAGATCTTTAGGGGCGAATATATATATATATATATATATCAACATATATATCCTAGAATAATCAATCATATTCCATTCCCTTTTCCAATCCAATCGATATTACCAGATATATCCCATGCCATTATACGACGAGATCATCGAAAGAATATTTCGAGAATCTTCAAAAATTAATGATTCATTTTCCTTTAGGCCTAAATAAATTTCCGATATATGTTCCATTAATTTTGCCTTGCCTATTCAAGCGACATCTTTTCAAGATAGATCATTTGAAGCCGATGATATATATTTTTTTTCTATATCTCCATATAGCTACCATATAAGCAACTATGTGAAGTTCCAACAACTTTTTTAATTGACTTAATCATATCCGATAGTATGTTTTCAAATATTTAGCTTTGCTGGGTTGACCCCCAACAGTATGTAAGAATAAGGCTTCTAATTCACCGTAGATCTTCGTATCATAATTGCACTCAGATGGATCAAAAGGGGAGCGAGGTCCCTAATATTATTCTCATTCGGGCCGGTGGCCTAGCTCCTTCAAATTTGCATTTATGAATTGGAAGATGTTCATCCAGGTGCCCAAGCATAAGATATTGCTTCGTATATCTCTCTCGCAGTATTTTCGATCGGATCGGATTTTTGAATCTATCACCTGGGAATTTCCATCACCTCTAACGATTACAAGATTCAACAATGAAATTACCAATGAAATTCAACGAATCGCTTTTTGGTTTGGTCCTGAATTCCTGAATACAGGATCAGCACCATCCGGAAACGTCGCCGAAAGTGCACTGTACACTGTACACAGACTGGCAGGATGCCCTAAGGGCCCCTAAGAGCTTCGTGGCCTTCCACGCTAAGATCACTAAGTCTCCACGCAAGGCATCGCAGCATCCCTCTCCGCCGACTTGAGCGCCCTCTCAGCCCTGCGCGTGGCCGACTGCACGCGCTTCGCCTCTGCCCAAACATCTCCTTGGTGCCGAGATTTGCAACCGCTCTTGCAGCCGCGTCCGCGCCACGGCGATGCCATAGCAACTTCGTTGACTCCATGGCCCCCGTCGTGGGGGCCGGGGCCGCTTGGGCCACTTGGGCGACGGCTGCGGCACTCGCGGTGGCGCCCGCGGCGCTGGGCTGCGCACCTGGGCCTGGCGAAGATGTGGCGGTCGATGTCCATCTCTGCTGGCCAAAGCCTTGGGTCCCAAATCTGCTCACTCGTAACAAAGAGCTTGCATCTCTCGTCCAAGATCATCTTGTAGTACCAGAAGAGCCGCTCCAGGCGCACTTCGACCCCCTCTTCACCTCGCTGCCTCAGCGCAGCAAGGTCCTCCAACCTGAGCCCCTCGGAGGCCGACCCGTGGGGGAAGTCCAAGGGCTCCCGGATAGCGAGGCCACTCACGCACACCTTTCGCTGGATGGGGTCCTCCGCGTCCAGAAGCAGCCAGCCTTCGAACTTGCCAAGGTTTTTATCAGGGACCGACGCGTCCGTGGGAAGCTCCTCCAAAACCAGGCTGCGCCGGAGGTCAGGGGAATCAGGGGAATCAGGGGATTCCAGCTCCACAGCGCCCAGAGTGTACCTGAAAGCTCGTACCTGCTTGCTGTAGTCACTGCTGAAGTAGCGCCCATTGGAAATGGTGAGGTAGGCTTTTCCGGACATCTCGAAGCGCATCTGCACGGCGTAGCCCCCGCACATTTCGCACACGCACGACCTGAAGGAGTAGGATACACAGCAAGACTTTAAGATTTAGGGCCATTTAGGTTTGCAGCACAAGATCCACGCTGCTTTCATTGGTCCCCGAGTAGCCTAGGCTAGGAGGCTATCTAATTCTGCAAAGAGAAGAACTTTGGAGTGAACCTAATTTCGGGGCTTTACAGAATCTAGAGCAGGGTTTTGAGGGTTCTTCTCGTATAAATGCAAAGGGGCCATAAGGGAATACCCCTAGCAAATCTTCCTAAATCCTATTTTAGACCCCTAAACCCTAAACCCTAAACCCTAAACCCTAAACCCTACATCCGGGCCTGGGATCCTCGAAGTCGCCGTTCATGGCCAGGGAAGTTACGGCGACCACCTCCTGCTGGCCTCGCATGCCAAGATCACTGAGCGTCTGCGCCCCCTCGAGCACCTAGGTTCTCCGAGTAGCTAAGCCAGGAGCAAACTTGGGGGTTTAGGGTTTAGGGTTAGGTAGGGTTAAATAAGTTAGGTCTCCCAGCAGCTAAGCTGGGAGTAAACAGGAATCCTGTTGTTTGAAATTGCAGATTTCTTATGAGAACCTAAGCCCCCCTTGAAGAAAGGATGCCCGCTGCGGGTCCTAGGCGCTGTCGCGCCCCAGAGCAGGGAACGGACACAGCAGCCGTGCTGAATGAGCTGGCCTTCTGCATCGCTCTCCACCTTTCACAGGAGCAAAAGCATACAGCTTCCAAAAGGGCTCTGGCTTGCGACTGCTAGTTGTGAGCAATATCACTTGTCCTATCGATGCATAAACGCCTGGATGATTCTCGTAAGCGTGACATTTGGACACATTTAATTGATGCATTTCTTGGGCTCGAAGTGGAGTTGAGAAGACTCGAGACGTTAGACCTAAATTAGCAGTCCCCCCCGTACCTTGAGCCTGAGCTCGTTTGCACTCGTGCTGTCCACCACGCTCAGCTTCACCAAGAGCTCACCGGAGAGAAGCCGCACGGTCAGCGACACGAAGTCTCCGGAGTTCAGCTGCGGTGAGGGCAGCAAAGGCATGGGAGGCGCAAGACAAAGCAGAGGGGTGTTAAGCTTGTTTTGGAAGACGAATCTTGAGCCGCAAATGTGTGATGGTGGAGCCACTCAGTCGCATCTTCCTAAGGCCCAAGGGTCAACTTTTCATGGGGCACGAGCACTGCACATGTCTTGAGCAGGCTCAGGGACACCAACACAGGAACGCTAGATTCAGCCCTGATTAGACTACTTGGCAATAATAAGCTGAGAACATTCCTCATAAGGCTTGTGCCGATGTTCAGTGGGTTTGGGGCAGGCATGGAGACTAGCACCGGTTCGGCAGCCGATGCTTTCCCATCCCTAAGCGTCTTGTGGGGCTCCTAGGCACCAGGCCTCTGATGCCCTGCAGCAGTGGCCAGAAAATCCAGGAAGCCACGGCTACCAACAGGACTCTGCAGGCCTGCAGGCTACAGAACTCCATTCCCTCCAGCTTCCAGTGTAGAAGTCACCATGCTGGCGTCGTGTGACCTCGCGAATCAGAATTCATGCTCTTCTCCTCGGTCATGTTTTCAATGTATCCGTGTACCAGTGCCTCAAGAATCAGATCGCAAAGCGCGACGTGAACGGTGTCGGCCAGAATACGCATGACGTTGCAGGGGCAGATATGTCTGGGCGCGAATCCATCGCGAGTGGTACCAGGTAACAGGAGTCGCAGCACTGCTCTCACTCCGTACCGCTGCCGCTGTCAGATGTCTCTGACCGACTGAACTCAGAAGCCTCGCTGCCGTCCTTCCCTCCACTGCAGCGGTGCCTGATACAAAGCCCTCCGAAGGCCAGGGAAGCAGTGCTCCCCAGGATGCAGCCCAGGAGAAGCCGCAGTCGATTTGCTGCCTCGCCTCCGAACTCCGGCCAGAAGAGGGCCCAGAAGCCCAGGGCACAAAGGCAGCTCACGAGCTTGAGGCCCTCCACGCGGTGCCCACCTCCTTCGGCATTCAAGCAGAAGAGGAGCGCGCAGCCGCCCAGCAAGCAAAGCTCATGTTCGACCTCATCGGTCGGTGGGAAGAGCTGCCCACGAAAGGCCACACAGACGGCCACCAGGGGCCCGAAGATCAGAACCTGAAGGCTCCGACCCCACTTCTCGTAGGCGTCCATGGAGCGCTTCCGTCGCACCCTCTCGTAGTAGCCGGCCTCTCCCAGCTCCAGCAAAGCTTCGGCCTTGAGGCCATTGGGAATGCTGAGGGCCACGGAGCTCATGACGTTGAAGCTCAGGGAGAAGAGGTCCAGAACCGTCAGTGTGGGCGTATACATCAAGGCACAGATGGCCACTACAGCAGAGGCCGTGCCCTCCCAATAGCCTTCCCGGGCCTGGTGCTTCAAGAGCTCCACCGTCGCGAAGCCGCGTTGAAGGGAAACGATCATCTCCTGCCCGTACCTCTGCTGAGGGTGGGCCCTACAAGTTTCTACACGGCTTCTACACAACTTCTACTCATAAGTATGTAAGCATGTAAGCTGAGAAGAAAACGTTCTCAGCCAAAGAGGCTGGGTCTGGAAGATGTCGCTGAGGTTTGGCAGCAGGGCGGCGAGGAGCAGCGCGGAGCCGTAGTAGGGCTGGCCCTTGGCGTAGAGGCTCAGCGCCGAGTAGACGTCCATGGCCGGGTCCAGGCTGGCCAAACCAAGCGCCAGCTTCATGCTCCAGCGCTCCGCTTGCAGGTCGCTGTCGCTGAGCCGCCTGCACAGCATCTCCAGGACGTCGGGGAAGTCGGGAGCGTGGTAGGGTCCGTCTGGGCTGAAGTACGCTGCGGCCGGCCCGGCTGTCTCATCCCACACCTCATCCAGCTCAAGGGTCTTCAGGGTCTTGGCCTCACATGTGGATTTGGTCGCCGCGTAGCCCTTCTTGCCTCCTGGGCCCCGCCAAGCGGTAAAGAGCCGATACCAGCCGATGCAGCCGTAGGCCAAGGCAGCCAAAGACGGGAGGAGCCAGGCAGGCCCACCGACCTGGACGACTTGCCAAGTCTCAGCCTTGAGGCAGTAGCCAGGCAGAAACGGGAACATCGGGAGGAAGCAGTCAGCCGTACGGCACCAGGCAAAGCACGCGGGCCCCGTCTCGGCAGTGACGACGTCGCTTCTGGAGATGTTCTCGCACTCCTCAATGGTCCTGTTGGCGAAGTGCTGAGTGCAGAGCTCCGGCCCCGTCGCTCCGGTGTGTAGCTGCAGCTGTCTTGCGAGCAGCGGGAGATCCCCGGAGCACACAAGGGACCAAGCCAGGCCCGGAGCTGCCCCGGCCAGCGCCGACATCGTCACGAAGAGCAGCAGGAGGGCGGCGCCCAGGGTGCACAGCGCCTGCGGGAGCCGCGCAGAGGCCGGCTGGGCGCGGCGGATGAGGCAGACCTGGAGAAAGACGTAGAAGAAGTAGGGGGGTATGAGGACCTCGGCAAGTCAGGCGCCCAAACAGCAATGGCCTCCAAAGAAAAATTACCCTGCGTGCTAATTATGCAGGTCACCTGTAACCACTGCCAAGGGGCGATAAAGGTAACGTTGGCAGCCTGCAGGCCCACAGCCAGGGCGTTTGTCCAGGCGGTGGGCAGGCAAAGGGCCCCGGCCCACAGCACCGGTTGCAGGATGGTCCCTGCCAGCACTCCACCAAAGGCCCAGAGCAGCCTCTTGAAGTCTTTGACGTTGGACTCGTCTTGCCCGGCAAAGCGAAATCGAAGACAGGCTGCAAGTGTTGCTCCGAGTGAGCCTGGAAGCAGAACCAGAAGCACGGCCGCACGAAGGGCCTCCCTCTTCTCCAGGGGGGGATAGAAGTCACCAGGGACACCGGGAGGCCCTTGCAGTACCGACATGTGCTGGGCTTAGCCCCCGAAGTCACGGCCCGAGGCTCCACTACTAGGCGCAGAGCTATGTCTGAAACACTCCAAACCGCCCCAAACCATGCCAAACCTTGCAATCCCTTGCTACAAGGGCCTGCGTGCTGTGCCTGAGCCATCACACTACATGGCCGCGGGCTCCCTTCAAAGATCCGCTTTGGATTCTTTATTGCAGCGGAATCTCCCTGAATCGCCGTGGGGGGATTCTTGGTTCCACTGTGCGCATAGAAGGGAAACTGGCCACGAGCGGACTTTTGGGAAATGGCTGGTTCCCTCAATCTTGGGGGTGCCATAGCAAACAACCATCTCAGCTTGCCCTCTGACTGCCTCTGATGTCGTCACCTACTTCCCGGAAGAGCCGAAAAAAGCTCCAAGTTTCTCTACAGAGATTCGCAGTTGCCTTGTAGCAAAGCCTACTGGGGAATTGGCGGCGTCGGTCTATACTGCTACCAGGAATGAAGTGCAGGAGCACTAAACGCCACAACCACTGCTTGAAAGAGGCAACCCCCCCCCCCCGCCCCCACTAAAGACCTCCTCAGGCCCTAAACGGCCTTGCTTTCGGGTTTAGGGTTTAGGATTTCGGTTTAGGTTCATGAAGCAGCCGCCTTCGCTCCTCTCTTTTCACGTGCGCCATCCAAAAATTCTCCAACCAACGGTGGGCGGCAAGCGCACCTCCCGAGCTTGGTTGGTGTCCTGCAGCGATCGGCTTCCAAAAGGCCCCGAAAGGGCAATCACAGAACAGGAGTCCAGAATCACACATGGAATCGAAGAAAACGGGCCCTAACCCTTCATGTTGTGGACACAGCTTTAGCTTAAGTTTTGTCTTGACACGCCCCAGCGCCAAAACCACCTTTTGTTTCTCCGCAGCCACAAAAACTGATGGCCTCATGAAAGTTGCTTCCTTCCCCTCCCCCCACCCTGCACAACCCCAGGCAGTCGAACGACCCAGAACTCTCCAACACCTACGCACTGGCCCTGCACTCTGAGCTCGAAACACCTCAAAAGATCCCAAAGTTCCGGAAGCCACGCGCACCTGACCGTAGCCGCCATTGAGCCCATTTCGCACACCGCGAGCCGCTGCCAGCATCTCCTGAGTGCTATGTACAAGTCGAACGGGGATTTCTTTTCGGGCTCCGCCCGTTTCTGACATGTGATGTGCTAACCCGCCGCCAGGTTCGAATAGAACGACCTCTACGGCGCTGGGCAAGATGATGTTTTGGCCAAGTCTCTATCATGGCAGAATCGCTCTCCAGCCACGGCGCTTCCTTGCCAGCTTGAGTCTCGGGGACGGGGGCCCCTCGTGCGAAGAACGCCCCACTTCGCAGCACCCGTGTTACATGCATATGGCAAGTGACGTGATGGCGGCTTTGACACCTCCACACCCTGAAAACGCACTTTGTGAGTGTCTCAAAAGCCCCACCGTGCCCCAACCCCTCCCCCCCCCTGAGCACCACCCCGTCACTCTAAACCCCAGAGTCTCACACAGAAGCTGGCCTTGGGTCTAGACAGGGGTCCCTAAGCCCTGAGCCAGCCTCCAGCTTTTAGGGGCTTCGGATGCCAAATTTGTGTTTCAAAGATTTTCGACGTCGAGTGGCGGGCACCCGGCCCGATCCAGGGTTGGGCTTCCGCTTGAGCCCCTCCTCGCTCTCTCGCGCCTGGCTGCAGGGGCCTTTTGAAGTTCTTGAGAGTCCAGTAACCATCTAGTACTAAGGGGTACCTCTTTTTTGGGTGGGTACCCCATAACCACAGGAGAAGAGTAAAGGGTACCGCTGGGGGCTACCAAGAATTGTGCGCTAGAGTTTTAAGGGGGGGCTAAAGCTTCAGGAAGCTTAAGGCATTGATATATAACGGGGGGGGGGAGGGAGCAGTAGGGGAAACCCTAAACCCTCTAAACCCTCTAAACCCTCTAAACCCTCTAAACCCCCTAAACCCCCTAAACCCCCTAAACCCTAAACCCTAAACCCAAAACCTTCCCCCTAACTTCAAGGGGCACTAAGGGGCCGGTGCCGGGGCCTGGTTCAGGCAGGTCAGGGCCCGCTTCCGCAGCTCATCCTTCACATGGCAAGAGGAGTTCTTCTGTTGTTTTTTGTGGTTTTTTTGGGCTTACACACACATATGTGTATATATATATATATATATATATGTATGTTTACTTATGTATGCATTTTTTTTTTTTGGGGGGGGGGGGGGGTTGCAAGGGTCCACAAGCTTGGGCTTGTGGATCTTCAGAATGCCGGGAGGGAATGGGTATTGAGGGTCTGCGGCCTTAGAACTCTCATGTTAGCAAAGGTGCAGGGTGCGCTTGCCCTCTCAAGGCTTTCGAAGCTGCAAAAGTTTCGGTTTCAAGATATATTTCGGGCTTTTTGCAGGCAAGCTGTGCTGCTCTGCAACCTTCATCTGTGACTCGTGCAGCATCAACGATGAACAAGACTTGAACAAAGGACGAGGGACGAAGCAGAACAATAAGAATCAATAAAAATAATAATAATAAGAAGAAGAAGACGCGCCAACAGAGCCACACCCCTAAGTTCCAAACATCCTACAGCCTAAACCCTCATGATGAGGATGAACACTAAACCCTCATGATGAGGATGAACAAGAACGGATGTGTGAACCTGCGGTCACAACCTGCTTCCTGCTGCACATGCCAAAATTCTTTGGAAACATTTTTGCCAGCTTAGTAAATAAAAAAAACTAATTGTTATTATTATCATTATTATTATTCTTCATACTGCTCTTCTTATGATTATTATATATATATATACATACATGCTTGACTGCAGCTTGACCATTTTGGCCTCCTTCTTTCCACGAGACCCTGGCGGTTCAAGTACATCGAGTACAAAGTCCTTTCTAGCCAATTGCCGGAATATTCCCCCCAAAAGCCATCCCAAATCAGACTGGCGCGGGCTCTCTCGTCAGAGCTGCTGTTCAAGACTCCAGCCGCAAACCCTGTTCAACTTTCGTTTCCATCAACTTAACACCCCCCCCTTTTTTGAATGGGGGGTGCATTCTGTTTTAGAAGCCCCGAGATCGGAAACCCGAAACCCAGGTCCAGGAGTTGAAGTTCCTCGTAGGCCAAGGGAATGCCTGGGGCGCTGGCGAGTCGGGGAGCGTCGCCCCAATCGTCTCTTCATGAAGGGGTTACAGGGGGTTTCCGAAGTTCCTAGAACCCTCAAACCCTAACCTTAAACCCTGCACCCCAAACTGAGGGTGTGCGTAGGGCTGGGAGTTTGGAGCTCCCAGGTTTCACAGAGACTCCAAAAGCTTCTGTTTTGGACGGGCTGCCGCCGGATTCCTTGGCGGTGAGGAGGAGGGACAGTTGGCAGCAGGCTACGCCGATGTGGTACCTTGCCATCAGATGGCGCGGGTTACCAGAATGGAGTCTTTCCCCTGGTCCGAATGTGCCCCCTAAAAGCTGTACGCTTACCCTTTATTTCGAGAATCCCAAGCCGCGAACCGTTACTGTACCCAAATATACCGCCAACGACGCTACAAACCCTTTTCTGGTCCGAACTCTCGACAAGGGGGAACACACACCCAAATGCCATAACCCTTATTACATTATTACAGGAAGCCCGCTTCCCCCCCTTCGGCCCCCCCCTAAACCCTAAACCCTAAACCCTAAACGCTAAACCCAATCAGTGTTCACATATGGTTTGTATTTTAATGGGGAGGCCCGCGACACGTGTTGGGGTCGGGGTATGTTTCGCGGGTATGTTTCGGGGTATGTTTCGGGGTATGTTTCAGGGGTATGTTTCGGGGTATGTTTCGCGGCAGCTTCCCAAGACCCATTTCCAAATCCCGAGCCCCAATCCTGGCAGTCTGCTCTAGCCTGAATGCACACCCAAACCCGCCCTGATCCCTGAAGCCGCACAGGTAGACAGACTCAAAGACACCAAGCCCTCAACACAAGCCCCTCAACCCCTCAACCCCCTCAACCCTGACCCGTCAATCCGACACCCTATAACCCAAAAAAGTAAGCTACGGAAGGCTGGTGTCACTCCACTTCCGTTACTGCTGCTGCTAAGGCTGCCCTAAAGCCGAAACCGATATTATCTGTTTCGGCAACCCCAGGATGGTGCTTGATCTTCTCGGGGTGGCGATCTAGGGATGAGGGTTTAGGGTTTAGGGTTAGGGTTTAGGATGACTCTGAGGGTTCGGGTGCTCCGGGTTCATGCCAGGGGTCGTCTGTAGCTGCTGGGCATTTCGCCCTATGTGAAGAGACATGAGTCCCAATCCCAAAAACTTTCAACAGAAACAGATTCATGAACCGGTAGGCCCGAGCTTTCAAAAACCAGAAAGGATTGAGAGCTATGACCCCCCCCCGTCCCCCGCAAACTCTGAACCTACACATTTTGCGCCCCCCCCCCCCCCCCCCCCCCCCCCCCCTCCCCCCCACCCCCTTAACTCACATGTCCCAAAGAAATAAGGTTGGGGGCTGGCTTTCGGGCCATCCGCGCACCAGAAGGCCTCCAGGGCTTAAGGAGAAGCGCTTTTCTGAGATGCTCAGCCAAGGGGCACGCACTGCGGGGAAGAAGGATGTCTCTCCAAACACGCCTTTCCAGCCGTGGAGCTGTAGAGTTTTTTCAGGTTTTGGTGGGAGGGCTGTGGGTTTCTCATCTTCAATTAGTTCTTCAGATTCATAATTCACTGCTCGCAGAAGCCTAGGGTTTGCGGTTGAAGGTTTAAGGGTTCTTTTTTTCCTCAACGGCACAGGCCTCAAGAAGGGGCCTGGCGTTCTTGAGCCAGCCTCTTTCATGGCTGCGCTTTTTTCGGTGCAAAGGAACACCCACAACCCTATACATCCTAACACCAAGCAACAACGAACCCACGCCCAACAAAATGGGGCTTGTGTAGTCAGAATGGGTATTTTGGGCAGATCAGAATATACACGGTTTTTCAGGTCCTCATTGGCCTTTTGACTGCCCAAAACCCTGGAACCCCTTTTAAGCCCCCCAAAACTCCCCAAAAACCCCTAAATCCCCACCAAACCCCGCAACAAAAACACCCCAAAAACTCCCAACCCCAAGCCCCCCAAACCCTCCACCCCCTCAAAAACTTCCCAAAAAACAACGAGGGCAGGAGCAGTCCGAGCCTCCGAGATGGAGATGGCCTCCTCGAAGTGCTTGAGGCGCAGGAACGCGACGCCCATGCAGACGTAGGGGGCCCGGAAGTCGGGATCCAGGAGCCTTGAAGATTGGGTTGGGGTTTGGGGTTTTAGGGTTTTAGGGTTTTAGGGTTGAGGGTGTCGGGCTTAGGGTTTCTGCTGCATGATCTGAGGGTTTAGGGTTTAGGGTTGAGGGTTGAGGGTTTAGGGTTTAGGGTGCCACTTAACTCACCTAAACTCCTAATGGGTATTCTAAATCGCTGTTTTGTCCCCAGACCCTAGGAGACTTGTCTCGTCTCCAGCAAAAAGAGCCAACATGAGGTAGAAAAGGCCGGCGCAAGCAAGCTCTTAGACCCAACAGCCCACGAGTCTCGAAACAATCTAAAAGCTGCAGACATGCAGCAGGCTCTTGTTCATGAGGTTCACCGCGTCTTGCGGCTTACCCAGCTCCAGCGCGCACATGCCCAGAAGATACAGGGCATTGGCGTTGGAGGGGGAATACCTGTCAGCACGCAAGGCTTGATTACCCTAAACCCTTTTGCGGCAGCCTTGGGCACGCCCGGACAGCCCTAAAGCCTAAAAGCCTAAACCCTAACCCTTGGAAACCACTCTGGGGTGTAGAAGTAGAAGCCCCCAGATGATGCCAGTGCCCAAACCTGCTGCCCCTGAACCCTAAATCCTGTGAACCGCCTCATATCTGCCAGGCGGTGTGTGCAGTACTCGAGTTCCCTAGCTCTCTGGCTGTAAGAGCTTCAAGCCTCAGCAAATGAACCCCCCAGCTCGAAAGTCATATAGTACGCACATAAACAAAAACTACTTCCAATCTTCCCAGTGGCTTCAGGGACTTCGTGAAGTGCCGCTTGGCTCCTTCCCATCGGTCCTTTGTAAACCCTCTGTGCTAAACCCTTCGAGCCCTGCCGATCCAGGACCTATCATAATCAGAATCATGAAGCATTCTATGGGTTGCGCGGTTTTTGCTTGCCACCCGCCTAGCACTCACGCACACTGCGGGGTTTAGGGTGTAGGGGTTTAGAGTGTAGGGTTTAGGGCACTTCAAAACTCAGTGCAATGTCTAGGATGTAGAGGTTTAGGGTTTAGGGTGTAGGGGTTTAGGCTTTAGGGCTCTTGGCACTTCAAGACTCATTGCAAAATCGCCAGTGCACTCTCAGCCCTTTCCAGGGTCCTTGTTGGCACTTCGCGCCTCGATGACACCATGGCATCGGCAGAGGAATGACCTGGGCAGTCTCGGGCATCATCAGGGTTTGCGTACGACCTCACTCGCCACCCGGCCCTAAACCCTAAACCCTAAACCCTAAACCCTAAACCCTGAACCCTGAGCCCTGAACCCTGAGCCCTGAACCCTAAACCCTAGACCCGGCCCCCCTCGACCTGCGAAGGGGCCCTTCTTGAGGATCTCAAGAATTTCATGCCCAAGCCCTGACGAAAACCCTGAAGTCACCAAAAACAAACAGAAGCAGCACCAAAAACAAAAGGACTGCTGTCTCTTCCTGGCAGCTCGACGAACTGCTTCCCACCTCGTTGGGGCACTTGTCAGCTTTAAGATTCACGGATCCCTCGTCCTAGATCGCAACCCTGCACCCTTCTTGCATCTGGACTGCGAGGGGATGCCAGAAGAAGCGTCTCTCGACCCTATCTGCTGTGCGGCAGTGGCGCCCTGATGCCCTGAGCCTGAAACACATATCCGAAGGCTGCAGTCGAAATCTTACAAAAAAAGAGCTGCTGTCGTCCCCTGGTGCTCGTTGTGGGCACAATCCGACAAGACAAAGGGGCGAGCAACATCCAAGGACCTGTCTTCTGCAATGTTCTGAAGATCCCCTCTGGTCACTCATGCTGAGAACGCGACGCTCTTCCGACGCCTTGCTGACAAGGACTTGGGCATCGTAGAGCCTTGGCTGCTTCTTACAGAGGTTTCCGCATCCTGACGGATAGAGTTCTTTGCTCTGCATGCCCCTAGAACCAAAACTTCCCTTCTAACCCCGCACCCGAACCAGAAGTAAACCCTAATCCAACAGAAGTCCTAAACCCTAATCCTAAACCCTAAACCCTATTTTGTAAGGCATGGACATGCATGGACTGAGCGCGGAGCCGGAAACTCTGAATCGACTCAGGGGCAGAGGAAATGGAACATGAGCACTTAAGTTCTTTGTTTTTTGGGCAACCTGCCTCGCAGACCCTGCGCTGTGTCCCTTTTTGGGCTTAGGGTTTGGGGTACGTGATGTGGGACTGGTGAGTTGAGATTTTAACAGGCGGGAAGAGAGAAGTCCACGTACTGGGTCAACATACGCCTGAGCGACGACTTCAATCTATGGGATGATTTAATGTGATTCTCCCGAACTTGCGCGAGGACGAAGCCACCGAGAACCCTAAATCCCTTTTTTTGAATATGGGGCTTTCCGGGCAATCTCGCCAGCTGGTTGTGTAACCCTAAATCCCTAAACGCCCTAGTAACCCTAACCCTAAACCCTAAATCCTAAACTCCTAAACCCTACACCCTAAAATCCCTAGTGCCAAACCTCGACGTGGCCAGGCAACATCTTCTTCATGCGAGCATGGTCACGGTTGCTTATCGCCAAGCCTCGGAGTGTGTGGGTTCCCTTTCTTGACTGGGTCGATTTGGGGGGAGATTTTTTGGTTGACATGGAAAATGGCGGTGGTAGTAGTGGCCAGGACAGATTGCGGCAGATTTTTTGAAGATGTGCTGATAAAACGGAAGAAACTGGAAGTGCTGCCGGCGAGGAGAGTAGGGCTTACGGCTTGGATGCTCGCACTTGAGGCAACTGCCCAAAGGTCTGACATGAGACTAAGCTAAGCTTTTTCAAAGCCACACGTGATGAAATATGCCATGGTTTTGGTGGAATCGGTTTTTCCAAGCTTCCAGCACAATGACGAACTTAGGCCAACAAGTTTAGGGCTCAGGGTACGCACAAATGGGCTGCACTTCTCAGAGCTGCCACATATTTGCAGCTCACTGTTTGAACATGGGCCCACGACCAGATACAAGCGTATCATCTCAAACGTTGCAAGCCCTTCACAAGAAGCTGCTGCAGCCCCGTCTGCGAAAAAGGCACCCGTGTGTGGACCACCCCAAGGCCTAAATGCCCTAGGGCAACTCAGGGCACTAAACCCTAAACCCTAAACCCTAAACCCTAAACCCTAAACCCTAAACCCTAAACCCTAAACCCTAAACCCTAAACCCTCAGGATCAGTCCAAAACCTCCTCGACCGCCCCAGCTTAAGGCTGCCGGAAGGGCGTGCGGTCAAGTAGGCGGCGAGCTCCGAATTTCCATCGTACTGATCTGCCAGCCTGGATGTCGATTTCTGAGTTGGGGGTGGGGTTTTCGAGGGGTCTTGACCAATGAGCTTAGGCGTGTAACACGAAGACACTGCATGCCCCGCGAAGAAATTGTATTGTGCCTAGAGTGTGCAGCCGACAGGCACTTTTGCACATGAGCTCTTGCACACAGAAGAAACCCTCACAGACTTTGCGCAAATTCAGCTTGCGAGCATCTTCGACGTCGGTTCGACGCCGCCGAAAAGTTGCTGGACGGATTCGCCTCGACACGTCTGCTTGGCGAGTCCGGGTTGCGCACGTGGCAGTGTCATTGACTGAATTCCGGGGGCACAGTGTCTTGGGAGCTTGGGCACGGGGGCGAGCTTAGGAAATTGGGAGAAAAGTTGTCCGCTGTGGGAGTGCCCTTTGTGTCTTAAAGCCTTGCTCCGCCACAGGCTCTTTGGGGAAATGCCCTTTGGACCCTAAACCTTCCTTTGAGGGGGTTTAAAGGTTCGGAGCTTCCTAAACCTTTTTGAGGGGAGACCACCACAACTCAGAGTCTCAAAGAGCCTAACAAAAGGGGCCTTTTCATTGTTGGAGCCTGGATATTCTATGCGTAGTTGAATTTACTGTCTTCCTCAATATGAGGGTGGCATAACATTGGTAAGTATGCAGGATCCTGCTCAAAAACGTGACATTCAGTTCCAGTGGCTGCCCGGTCCGAGCAAAGTGTGTGTGTGTGTGTGTGTGTGCAGTGACCCCTCAGTCCTTACAGCAAGAAAGAGCGCCCTAACACCCTCACATGGTCTGCACCCGAACTCCCTAAGTACCGTCAAGTCATGCCCTCTGCAAACCATCCACCGACTCATTGGATCAGAGTCTGAGGCGCCAAGGGAGGAGTAAACTTCCGCCAGCACCGATGACCGAACCGGCGCAGTGCCAGAGGTTCTCGCAGCACCTGAGCACTGGAGTGCCCCCTTTGACGCAAGAGCAATCGACACCCAAGGAAAATCAGGGGGCACGTTGCACCAACGATTTCTGCACTGGCGTGTTCTAGATGGGAGTATAGGGCTGGGCGCCCCTGGCCGAACATCGTCTTTCAAGTGCTGTGCTTGATGGCACCCACCTCTTCAGCACTCCGTCTGACAGGAGGGATCCCGCCCAAAAAAAAGGCCTTTCCTCCAGGAGTTTGTAGGTTGTAGATGCAAGGTCTAACTCTGGAGTGAGGGTGATAGGTGTCTTTAAAGGCATGTTGGTTCAGGTTGGTCTTTTTTGCCACCCTAAGTTGTCACCGGCCTAGGGTTTCGGGTCTGCGGGTGCTGAGACATTCTGCAAATGTTCTGGCCATGCGGCTCACCACGCGTTCGCGCAAGTCAGCAGAGCACATGTCCCTCTTCGGGAGCTTCCAGTAGCCACCCAGCCAATGCACTGCCAGTTCTTCTGGCTGCGGGACATCCACCGGACCTCCAGTGCATATAGAGGTTCAGAATGACTTTTGGCTCCAACTTTCTGTGCCATCTGGGCTGGGAGGGGCGGCCAAAAACAAACAGAACTATGGCTTCTCAACTCCATGATCTCCATAGGGTTTAGGGTTTAGGGAGACGACTGGCGCCTGCATCTCCCCCGGTTTGCGTCTTTGGCTCCCGAGAGCTACGCCTCGGAACGGGCTCGGCGAGCAGAGGAATGGGGGTCTACGATCTTGGGGTGTGCCTTATTGGTCTCCTTTTCAATATAAGGGATCCTACTAGATTGGGTGTATCTATGGGTCCCCTGTTTGGTACCGTATTGGGGTCCTTGTTATAAGGGATCCTACTAGTTGGGGCTCTATTTAGGGGTCCCCAGTTTTCGTAAACCCCCAAATCAACTTCCGCAGGGAGATGACGACCCCTGACGAAAACTTGCGTGTTTCCTGCCTGGCGGGATCTGGAAGGCATGCCAAGCGGGCGGGCTTAGCTTGGCGGATGTGGGACGGGTGGGACGTGCCATCTCATGCAGACAAAAGGCAGATCTCGCTTGTACAGTATGGCGAAGCCGACCCGCATCGTGCCGTCAAACAGTTTGCCTGCCGCCAGCGTGGATTCAACATCCGCACGTCATCTAGGTTCACCCCGTGAAGCTTGAACGTGTTCCCCAAACTCCCCTGGCCTTCCGAAAAGCGACTCTGACCCCTAAAACCTAAATCAAGATGCTGGTCCACAAGTTTCCATGCTCACACCGCTTGTGATGGGCCCTTTGAGGGGTCGAACGTCGAACGTTTTGGACTCGAGATTCCCTTGCGATTCCTGCACCAAGGGGCGCCTGATGTGTTTATTCTGTCATTGTATGAATATATGGTCAGAAGAGATTCTTGTACTATTCTGTTGCTTGTGCTTTTGCATTGCTATGTTTAGCTGAAAGTCCTGTCCTCCTGGAATCTCTACACTCAGCGTCTCTGCCCCGGAAGCTCAGGGAAACGCATGGGGCTAGCCACTTCAACTAACGGCCCCAGCCAGGCCAAGGCTTGATGTGCAATTTGAAGCTGTTTAGGGGGCGAAGCGAAGCTGCTGACCCAAGGTACTCTCATCTGCACACTTTCAGGCGACGCTCATCAGCACGATCCTCTTCTCCAATCTTGCAAGAGCATGCGTCACGCTCGAGCCTTGAGAAGAAGGCATCTCTACTCCGAGGCGCCCACACACATCGCTGAGCTTGGGCCCAAGACCCTAAGCCCGAAACATCCCCAATGTCGACCCTTCCGGGAGCCTTGCTTCTGAACCGGAGTGGAGGTGCACCAGCGCTCGGCCACGAAGCAGGGACTTTCCTTGCGTTGGCAGAGCATGGCGGGTGACTATGTGGCTTAGAGGACTTAAACATTTACAAAGAACTTAAAGTCTAGCTTCGGAGATGCCTTGAGCCCGACCAGCCCGACAGCATCCGCAACAGCCCCTAAACCCTAAACCCTAAACCCTAAACCCTAAACCGTAAACCGTAAACCCTAAACCCTAAACCCTAAACCCTAAACCCTAAACCCTAAACCCTAAACCCTAAACCCTAAACCCTAAACCCTAAACCCTCCCACATTGCCGGAAGCTCTTTTTCGGACCCCGAAAAAACTCCACCTGTTTCAAAGCCGCGTTCGCCCACCAGTGCCGCTTCTGCTCCTCAAAGCAGCCCCAGGCCTTGGGCTTGGAGGGTTTAGGGTTTAGGGTTTAGGGTTTAGGGTTTAGGGTTTAGGGTTTAGGGTTTAGGGTTGTTTCCATTGACAAGTGGGTTTAGGGTTTTGTTTTTTTTTTTGGCACCCGCAGAGCTGGACGAACCACTCCGCAGGGATTCCAAGTCTGAGTGACGATGCGAAATTGCGTCTGAAGAATTAGGGTTTAGGGTTTAGGGTTTTTTTTGCCACCCGTCTAGCAAAGCTCCACGGGGCAACTGAAGAGGGAATGCTGTGTACAGACTTCAGAGCCCAAGTTGAGGAAATCGCAGGGTTCCACACCAACCCCAGCATCCGAATCAACAACCAGTATGACCAACAACCACACAAACACCAGACCCACATACCCAATGGGGGCACGCCAAGGTTGGCGTGGTTTGTCGGCTCCAGCGTACTCGTAGCCTCCCCGGTACCTGGCTGTTCCTTCAAGCACCGGTCCTGGCTAGAGGCAACCGGAGATCGGAAAAAGGGTGTTCCCTACATCAATGCCGGGGGGGGGGTCACACATAGCTCTCAAAAGCTGCACAAAACTCACGACGACTGTCCCTCTCCCCGGCATCCTACCAGCAGGACGTTAAAGTGGCCTGCCCGTAGACCCATCTGCACATACCGATTTTGCCCTCACAGCCAACTCAACCCATTGCCCCTTACGCAACCAGTAATCAACAAACAGCTCTAAAGCAAGTCAGCCTGGCAGGCCCGCGTCTTGGCTATGCAGGCGATGCCAGCTCGTTAGTGCACATGCATGGGCTCCTAAATTCTCGGCAGCACGTCCTAGGGGGGCGAGGGAAGGTACTGACATGTGTGCACGCCTGTGGCCGGTGGAATCGGGTTCAGGCCCACCCCCCCCATGAACGTGCAGGCGTCGAAACAGACCGCTAGCAAAAGGACATGCAATCTATACAGTGAGTCATGCATTGAGGCGGCGTGCAAGACATGCAAACATGCAGCGCACATGCGGTGCGGCAGGGGGTTTTGTTAAATTCAGACATGCACATGCATCCATGCATACATAGGGCACATGCAACGATATTGTATTCGGGCGGGAAGAGTCCACTACCATCTACCTTTTGGGATATGGGCACGCCTGTGGCCGATAGTTACGTTACAGGGTGGGGCAGCCAGGACTCTCCCATAGGTGGGCGCATGCCCTCCTGCACTCACTTCATGCAGACCTAGGACGGCGCATCTGTACAGTACTCGGGCAGGAAGAGTCCAGCGCTAGCCGTTAGTTGGGATCTGAGCACGCCTGTGGCAAGTGACATCGCTACAAGTTCAGGGCAGCTTAGACTCTCCCTTAGGCGGGCATGTTCCCTTGTCTTGGCTCACTCCAGCGTAGGGGCAGGTCACTGCCGGCAGGTTGCATCGCCCCCATGGCGCCCCGGCATGAGGGTTCCTCGTGGCTGCCTTCCGACAGTCTGTCCACGATGGGACCTCCCTCTAGGCAACGGCTCCGTGGGCCTCACAAAGTAGAGCTGCTGCAGGAGGAGGCATTGCCGTCTGCACACCAGCTCGGGGAGGGGATGGCACACCACCATTCACCAGTCGCCGCAGTCTGGCCAGATAGTCACGATTCATAGGGCCTTGTTGTATGGCACGCCACGGTAGTGGAGGCCATCCTGCTCATGGCATCGCCTTGCCACACCTGCACCCAATGTCGCCAGTGTAGAAGGTGCCTCAGCAGTTCCAGCCCGTCGGACATAGCTGGGCCCAGTTCAGTATGCATGCACGGCTCGCCCAAGTGCTGTCGCACTGCCAAGTCTGGTCCATCCAGGCCACAAAAGAGACAGGTCCATATCCGTACTTGGCGGGGTGCAGAGCCAACCACTTGCAGCATGCATATCTGCCTTGCCAAAGCCAGTTCATCCAGGCCACCAGAGAAGACAGGACCATATGTGCACTGGGCAGGGTGCAGAACTGAGCTCGGAGTCGCCGCCATGGCTGTCGTGTCACACTATGGAATTAACTTAACACTTCGGGTCATAGAGGTAGGAGGCCTCAAGGGGAGTAGGGTAGACCGAATAGGGGCTAGGGGCATACCCATAGTTACAGTTTTTGGTGACGAGCCGGCCAGTCCAAGGGGGGGGGGGGGCTGTGGTGGCCAGGGCGAGCAGCAGTTGGCTAGCAAAGAGTACGTACTTGCATGACAAGAGCGACGCATGCGTGCGCGACGGGCAAACGGGCGTGCACCGGGGGGGGGTGGGAGGGGGGCGCGCACAGTGAATACAGGCATGCAAAGGTGCAGTTAACAGTAACATGCATATGGGCCGCAAGGTACGCGTACACGCTTGCACGGTCTGAGCGATGCATGCATGCGGGGGTACGGGCGTGCACCGGGGGAGGGTGGGAGGGGGGCGCGCACCGTCCATACAGCCATGTAGGCAGTGCATTCCGTGGCAGCAGACAGACAAGATCATGCAAGACGAAGCCATGCAAGATATGCGCATCACCACGGATAGGGCGGGGCCCTTAAGCAAAACCAATGAGTGGAGCAAGAGGAAGCATGTCAGGGGCCGAGACGTGTATTGCACACGCCAGAGCAGCCGGTCCATGTCCTTAGCAGGCCCGTGTCCTTAGCAGGCTGTGTCCAAGTCCCAGGAGGATCTCCCTCGTTTCATCCCTCGGACGTGAGGAGGGGGCTGCGAGCCTGGGTTTTCGAGCCACACAACTTCCTGCTCAACTTCCCTGGCGTCGTCCTCCAAGAGTCTCTGCACGTACGTCGGGGGGGGAGGGTCAATGAGCCCCCGGCCGATGTTGACCTCATGGGGGTCATCACGGGGGGGTGGGGGGGCTTCGGCGGTTTCGTCCGAGCTGGCTACCTCAATCGCCTCCTCGTGTCGCAGCCCCAGGGCATCAAGCGCAACCAAGGGTGGGGTCGGTGCGAGTTCCCGAGATCGCACCAGGATGTGTGGGATGGTAGTCTGGTACCCCTGCCCTGGGCGGATCAGGTGCTGCTTATAGAAATCATGCTGGGCCTCAGTCGGAAGGCAGAAACCATGCGAAAGCATCAGGCTACGCACATGTAGAGCAAGGTTCATCACATTCTTCGTGCAAAAGGCAACCAGAATCACTCTGCGGGCATCACTTTGTTGCGGTGGAATGCCAGCGTGCTGGACACGGCTAGCCGTGAAAATGAGGGGCTTTTGATAGACGTCATACACCGTTCCCTGCATTCGCACCCCAGTGTCCAGCGTGAACGAGTCCGTGCCCCCCACATCTCGCAGCCACGTGCCCCCACCATGCGCATGACTAGTGAGCCCCACAACAACATTGGGGACATGGGCGTTCTGCGAATCCACATGGGCCCCCCTCGGTACCCCCGTGCGTACCATGATGCCTGAGAAGGGGATCCCGGGCGCCTTATGGCGAACGAACTTAGAGAGGAGTTGGGACACACATGGGAGGTCAAAAAGATTCCGGAGGGGCCTTTTGGGAGTGCGTGGATTGGCCCCCGTCAGGAGGCAGCGATATCTGGTGGGCCCCTGCATCGCCTGCGTCGGTATCAAGTCATAAACCCCTAGGATATCCTCAGGCCTCAGGGGAGCGTCAGTGGACAGCAGTCGAAATGCCTGACTTTCCGCATCCTCCACCCTTTGTAACCGGCTCATCAGTTGAGGGCTAGGGGATAGGGCGGCCCGAGAAGGTCAGTGCCCCGGGGTCTGCCTAGCACGCCGTCAGTGTTCTTCTTGAGCTTCGCATGCACACACACCAATGCAGTCTTGGCACTGAGGGCAAGGCAGACATGCAACATGCAGGAACTGTAACTGCCTAGACCAAACAAAACATCGCCCAGCACCAGCATCTGCTCACCTTTTTTGCGCGTGTTGACAGTTCAGCAGGCGAGTCCCCCGCTACGGTATGTACACTCCCCCACAGTGGGATGCAGTCATGCATTCAGGGTTCCATGCAGTCAGGGCTTAGGGCGCAAAGTATGTAGGGGGGAGGGGAGGTATGGAGGAGGGGGGGGGGGGGGGGGGGGGGGGGGGGGGGGGGGAGGGGGCATGCACAGCAGGCATCCAGGCCAGGTTCGTAATTCCCAAATTCAGCAATGCCGTTAGTACAGGCGAATTCCAAATTTATCATTCAAGACATACTCAGATGTTGACATTCGCGAATTCAAGTAAATTCACAAGCTCAGACGAATTCCATCTCGCAATTAGTGAATTAGCGAATTCTCACTCCAAATTAGTGAATTAGCGAATTAGAGAATTCAAGTATTCTGGCATTCTTGTATTCACAAATTCAGCCCTTTGGGCCAGTGCAAAAGGCAGAACATGCCAAGAGGCAAAACGTGCATGGGGGAGGGGGGGTCTCCTACATCAGCCACTGGCAAGTGAGATGACGGGTGCCCCCTAGCGAAATACAGCAGGGAGTAGAAAATAAATACGAGGGTCCTTACAAAACTGTAGACTAGTTCAAGGGGGGGGGGGGAACCCATCTTCGGTTTCATGGATGCGATCAACCATGGTGCGTAGGATTCAGTAGAGCTCGGATGAAGTTTTCGCCCGGGCCAACCACGGTGATCTGGGGGCTTTGGGGGTGGCCCGCCTGCGGAATGGCCTGTTGAAGGCTGAGAGGGCGGGCCCCCGAGGCTGCAGGTTCAATGCGGATCGTCGGGGCTTCCATAGATGGCTGACCACGGCCCGGCGGTGTCAGCACCGCTATGCGGTCCAGGCACTCGTAGATGCCGTTGCGGATGTTGTCAACCATGCTCTGGTAGGTATTGAAGTTGGTACCCATGACCCCCGTGCACTCAGTGAGCGCCGTGCCCATGGACTCGAGCTCCCGATCCAAGTTGGTGAACCTCTCCGTGAGCCCCCAGAGATGACCGACCTCCTTGGTGACGTTGGCCACTTCGCGCCTGGCTTCCACCACCTCCTTGCTCATCTCGTGCAGCACCGTTTGGATAGCGCTGTGCTCACCCTTGAGCTCCCCAGAGGTCGCACGGAGGGCCTTGACCTCAGCGAAGATCAGAGCCACATTTTTGCCGGACATAGCATGGTCCTTGGAGAGGGACGCCACTTCCTTGGACAGGCCAGAGAGAGTCCCCATCAGGGTTTGCTGGCGCTGCTCCGCCTCATCCAGGTACTTGAGCACGTCCCTGTGGCTCTCACTGAGCTGCGCCTTGCTTTCCATGACCCTCGACTTGCAGGCCGAGATCTCAGTGTTGCACGTGCCCAGGTCTGTACGAAGCCCATTGATCTTGCCTTCCATGACCCCGATGCGTTGCCCAAGCACCTCAGCATGTTCATCCTGGAGCTGACGAGTCACCCCGTGGTGCTTTTCCAGCTTGACATGGAGGTCACGCATATCAGACTCCCACAGCTTGCGGAATTCATGTAGATCCTCCAACTTGACGTAATCCGTCGGCTGGGGGGCACTCGAAGGCATAGAGGAGGGTCCTGGGGTAGGTAGCTAGCGTCCCGTAGCAGCCAGGCGGCCAGGGGAGCGAGCCTTGCAGGCCAAGCCACAAAGCATCCCCACGCCAAGACAGGCGAGCAGGATAGCCGCCACTGTGTACAGCCCATCATCACCAACCAAAGGTCGGAGCAGTGCCTCGCCCGCAACACGAAGCGAGATGGCCTCCAGCGAGAAGGGTCCCATGTCCATGGCTGCGGAGAGTGACACTGAGGCGCTGTAGGGGTTGTTGAAGCAAAAAGGCTACATTTCACTGCCCGTCCTGCCCCCCCCCTCCTCGTGTCAGATCTACCAGACATGCAGCGGTGGTAGCTCTGCACCAGGCGCAGAAAACACAGCACAAGAGTAGTCTGGGCGTCTAGTTAGAACTTGCATGTGTTGGAAGAGCACAGCTTGCTTGGCCGCAATATCGGCAACCTCATTGAGCGGGTGACCGTGATGGGCTTTAACGTGCATCACCAAACATGCATGTCGAACCTCCTGCCACAACAACAAAAGCTGAGACACATCTTGTGCGTGCTTGACCGTGCTGATGGAGGACTGTAGGGTTTGCACAACATGCATGGAGTCTGTTTGCAGTAGGAACGATGACTGCGGGAAGAGTTGCAGCAGAGTGCGAACCGCCTTCAGTCCCTGAGTCGCAGCCAGGATCTCAGCCCTGATGTTCGTAGCGCGTCCAGGCACTGCTGCCTGAATGATAACTGCGTCCTGAAGAATGTCCCCGTAGGGGGGGAGAATGCACACCCCCACCCCTCCAATACCCCGAAAAGAGCTCCCATCAGTGGCCACCCTGAGCTGGGCCTGTTCCGTGTCATCTTGGGGACGGGGGACATGTTCGTACGCAGCATCATAAGGCTCCTCTACCGGCGGATGTCTCAGCGGGAGGAGGGAGAACAGGTCCCCCGAGTGTAGGAGCTTCCTTCCCCTAAGGTCAACATCCTCAAGGCACGGGTAGAAGGTGCCCCCCAACCCTTTAGAGTTTAGCCAATCACGAGTGAAGGTTCCCCACCTGGCACGATCCCGAGCAACCTGATCCCAGAAGAGCGGCTCCCACGGTTGTCTATGGTCCTGCCATGCAAGAGTGAGCAGCCTAGCGGCATTGGGCCAGTTGCCCAGCGCACGTCTAGTGCGGCCTTGGTGGACGAGGAGCCAGCGAACACTGCGAACTTCAAGGGCCTTAGTGAGGGGGCGGGCCTGGGCGTAAGGAAACCTAGCAGCGTGTCCCCAGTAACTAAAAAAGGCAGACGCCTGTATATGTTCCCATGGAAGCTGGTGGCACGCCTGCGCGCACATGCGAGCCGCCCGACGGGCAGCTATCCAAGAGTCAGTAACCCCCTGAAGTGGGTCACGGACAGGTCGAAGCATCGACAGGAGGAAATTAGTGTGCGTCGTGCGGAGCAGCTTCGAGACCGCAGCAACAGGACGGACCGCTGCCGACATCCATCTCCATCTACTCGTGACAAAGGCGGACAAAAGAGCCAGACGCCTAGCCACAGTGGAGGCACTATGGGTCAGAAAAGACACATATGCATAAAACGAGTTCGTGGCCTGAATGATCCTGGCAGCTAAAGTAGCCTGACACGTGACCGCAAAACCTAGCAGAACCCCCAGGTACACAAAGGAGGAGACCTTAGTCAGCGGGAGTTCAACGGCGTCCTCCAAGCTGGGCCATTCATCCTGGGATTGAATATACTGGGACTTAGTCAGCGAGAGTGAAAGCCCAACAGTCTGCAGTTCCTCCGTGAGGTCACGGAGCATTCTGGAGAGCTGCGAGGGGGAGGTAGCGAACAGCAAAATATCATCAGCGTAAGCAATGCTAAAGAGAGGCCGCCTCCCCGACGAGTCCTTGATCCAAGTAGATTCAAGGCGCTCCCAGCGAGCACAGAGTCTTGACAGAGCCCTGTCCAGCACGCGTGCAAATATCTCAGCCCCGTACGAGCTTCCCTGCAAAACCCCCCTACGCAGGGGCTGCGTCCAGGAGGCACCAAGAACTGAGATATTGACGGACGTCGAGGTGATCAGGCGCAGCAATGTCATCGCTTCTCCCGACGCCGGCATGTCCGCCAGGAGGGACGCAACAGCCGGATGCGACAAAGTGTCAAAAGCCTGACTAACATCGAGCTTAGCTAGAATAAGAGGCTGTTTCCATTCCGCCGACAGATGCATGATATGCTTAGCCGCGCAGACCGCATCCATAACCTGGCCCCCAGACTGACCCAGGACCTGACCACCCCCAAGAGGGGGGAACTGAGGGCGGAGCCGCAGCAAGAGTGCCTTAGTGAAAAGTTTATAAGAAGCCGGCGACAAAACGATGGGTCGGAGCTGGGACGGGACACTCGGGGCCCGGACCTTCGGGAGCAGTGTCATGTGGGCCGATAGCCAGTCAGCAGGAAAGGGCGCCTTGCCCTCCAGGTATCCATTGAGCTCAGAGACAAGAGAAGCCCCCAAGTCCGTTTGCATGGCAACCTTGAGGAGCTCATAGGACACTCCATCCGTGCCCGTGCTCTTGCCATTTTTGAAGGTCTCCAAGACCGAAGCAATCTCATCCCTAGTAAAGGGGTTGGGTTGCGGAACCACTCTGTACTTGGATCTGAGCATGTTCACCGCCAAGTCAGGTGGGTGCAGGTCAACAGGGGTGTACTTGGCATAGAAATGTGCCTTCAAGGCCGACACCGCCTGCTGTCCTCCACCCATGCGAGCAGCAAAAAGACCGTGACTAGCCTGCGTAGACTGGCGCCTACGGAAGTATGTGATGGCCACAAAGTCCCCCGAAGCCGCCCTTTCAAGAAGCCGGGTCCTCCATTCCTTCTTGGCCACAGCTCGGGCATGGACCACCTCCAGCGCCAGGGCACGCTGGTCTTCCCGATCCGTTGCTTGTCGACGGGCGGCGATGATCTCCAGAACATGCGGTGGGTCTCGATATCTAGAGGGAGTGTGTCTGACAGAGCACTGCGACGCCAGCCCTTGCCAGTCCTGGGGAGTCAGAACAACGTCCGACCTGGATTTCAGGGCGGAAGCAAGGTCCGCACAGGCTTTCACTGAGCTGGGCACTTGGAGTTTCCATTTGCCACATTTGGTGGCCACATAGGCTCGACGGGACTTTTTGACTCGCAGGAAGGAAATATGGGCACTACAAGCCTTATGGTCCGAACCAAGGATCGCAGCTGAGTCCCTATGCACACGCTCATCGTAGCAAAGCATCTCCGGCACACGAAAGAGCACATAATCTATGCGACTAGAGGACCCACGAGTGTTCGACCACGTGCACTCCTGCGGCAAGGTGGAGGAAAGTTGAAAGTCCCTCAAAAAAAGCTGAAGCAACAGACCTCTGTAGTCTTGGGTTTGGGGGGAGACATGCACAAATTCATAATTCAAGTCACATGCAAGAAGAAAAGAGTCAGCAGACTGAATATCATGCAGGAATTCACGCAAAGAATCAAATTGATGAGCCCAAACATGCATGCAGTCATCACGTTGAGAGTGGGGCAGATGCAGCGTGCACACAAATTCACGGGACTTCGAATTCCGAAGCACAACGAGGATACCAGCCGACAGTACATGCACCGAATGCAAGTCAACCATACGTGCAGTAGGGATAGCAACAGCTGTCCCGCGGAAGCAATCAGGTGGCGATGCGCAGAAACTGAGTAGGACTTATTCGCCAGGTGGCATTCCTCCAGGACCCAGTCAGAAGGACCCAGCCCTGCAAGACCTCCCAGTTCCTGAAGTCCGAAAAAATTCACCCCTTCAGCCCCTGTCAGATCCCACACCTGCGGAAGGTGTTCAAGCGACTTACCCTGAACATTCCAAGTCAGCATGGAGACACGACCGGGGCTCAAGGGGGCCTGTGAGTGTCACGAGCGGTCCTTGCCCGAAAGAGGCCCATGCTCCTGCCAGGCAGCAAAGAGGTCAGCCTCATTGAGCCCCGACACGAGAGCGAACCTGGCAGCCGAGACAGCCCATCCGGTGTAGCCACCCCGAGCGTCGGTCAGGGCAAGGTCGTGGGCTGTGGGGGGGGAGTGGGAAGGTCCTGGGGACGGGGCAAGAAGCATCTGATGCCTGCCCACAAAAACCTTCCCCCGCCAGTCAAATTCCGGCTGAGGGATCGCCTTCTCCGGCATCTTTCGCCTGATGGCGTCGTAGAAATCCTTGCACTGCAGAATAGCCCTGATCTTGTGCCTTTCCTCAAGTGTGCGATGACGCGACACCCAGAGAAAGCTGCCCTTAGACCCCTCCACAGCACTCGTCCATCGATCCTGTTTCAGGCGCTTGAGGATGTCTACTTGGTAGTTACTCTTGGCGGGGAGGGACTTACAGTCAGAGGGAAAGCGAAGGGTTGCACGTACAAAGTTAGTGCGTTGCCCAGGAGCCCAAAGATCTGCCAGCGCGTCATAGACCCCACATTCGTGGAAGAGAGATCTGACCTCCCTTTCGGCAGCATAGCGGGGAGCCTCCGACCAGCCCCCTACTACCACCTGTAGCTCGGCTTCAATGTCCTTGGGAGAGCCATTCATGCGGGGGGTCTGGGGCCCTGACACAGGCAGGTGATTAACCTGGTCCTGGAGCTCCCGGAGTCGGGTCTCAAGGTCCCTTAGGTCTCTCATCTGAGCCTCAATGTCCTGAAGTTGTGAAAGCGTAACAGACTGCTGGACCTGGGCCTCAAGTGCTTGAATACGCTCTTGCGAGTCACGGTGCTGTCTTGCGTGCTCCTCGACCGTGCCCCGAAGGACATCCAGGCGTTTAGCTTGCACCCCCAGTTCCCTGCCCAGTTGTTCGACCGACCCCGCCACCTGATCCTGTTTGGAGTGCATGGACTGCATGCTCGTTTGCAGTGCTACCACCCAGGGGGGGGGCACCGGCTCATCAGTCAGCATCGAGCGGGTGGGGGCCTTGGCCGGGGGGGGGTGGGCGACCTGTAGGGGAGGGCCAGCCCCGCGAAAGAGAGGGCCTTCCTCAGAGGCATCTTCACGAGCAATGTCATAGCTCGGCACATGTGGGGGAACTCCGAATGCAGGCAGGGCCTCACCAGCCCCAGCACGGCGCGAGCGTTTGGCATCAGGAAGAGGAAGAGGCCCCGTAGCAGCAGCAAGAGCAGCAGCAGCGGCAGCATCAGCTTCAGCATCATCGACAACATGGATGACTGCATCCGAGGCCAAGGCCGTAGCAGGCGTAAGAGACAACTCACCCAGATCCCGTCGAGCATCTTCACCGTCCTCATCGATCCCCCCCACCCCTCCCGGCATGACAGCAGCCCCAAGAAGAATCTCATCACCTGGGAAAGGGGGGAGCACACGCGGAGCCTCGCCCGCCGGGGGGGGAGAAAAAGCCTGGGTCGTCCCCTCAGAGGTCATGGCCTCAGAGCCACGGGGGGGGGGGGGGGGGGGGGGGAGAGGACACCAGGAGAAGGACAAGACGCCCCGAGGACCAGCACAAGCACGTCACCGGCAGGGAGGTTTTAAGGGAGGGGGGTTTGACAGTTCCTTTTAACACCAAAGACTAGCTTTTGACTAGGTTTAGGGTTTAGGGTTAGTTGGGTGGCGCTTCTGGCTGGAAAGTCCTTGAGCCAAAATGGCTTGAGCCAAAATAGGGTTTAGGGTTTAGGGTTTAGGGTTTGGGGTTTGGGGTTGGGAGCTGTGTTTTGAGTTTTTCAGGCAGTGAAAAGGCTTCAGGGTGCGAGGGCTCCGGGGTCTCTCTTACCAGGATTTCAAAAAAGAACTCTCCTGGACACCGGGCTTGGCCCAGCCCAAGAATTCAGCCCCCAGGACCCCGAGAATCCCATGGCCACCCACCCGAATTCCGAAAGCCCCTCAAAGCGGTCCCAGGCGCCAGGTCGAAGTCGCCCGCCGCCTTCTTTCCCTTTGGGGCACTAGAGGCTTCTTGGTTAAGGGCCCTTTTGACCCTAAACCCATTTTTGAATACTGGGCTCCGGGCAATCTCGCCAGAAACCCCTAAGCCCTAAACCCTTTTGCATCCAGCCTGTGGCGCCTCTTCCCTTGTTAAGCCCCCAAACCCTTAAACCCTAAACCCTCTACTCCAGAGGCTGCCATACTTTGAAGATGGGAGACATCTTAGGGATCAGCAGGGATGCTGAGGAACTCGGACGCCAAGGTCCGTATCATGCTCTCTTACCATCTCCCACATCATGGTAACTCGTCTAAGTTGCTTGACACCAAGACAAACACACAGAGACCCACATGAAGGCATCCTGAACTCCAGAAGAGGTTGTGGGAGGCTTCTAGACCAGGCCTCCTGCAAGGGGCGGAGCTTTTCCTGAAGCCACGCCTCCATCTTCCTGGGTTGGGATTCTGATTTCGCTAGGGTTCCGGTTAGGCTTTGTGGTTTAGGGTTTTTTGTCACCTGCCTAGCAGCCTCGCAACCACACAGGGTTTTGGGTTTTGGGGTTTTTGGTTTGCTTTGTCACTGTCATAGTATTCAGGAAGCCAAATCGTGTGAGTCGAAGCATTCCCGCACCCCTCCAAATTTGCTAAGCCCAAAAAACACCTGAAGATTTGACAAAGCAAGCTGGGTCGGCTGTCAAGCCCTGCTGCCAGCATTAAACCTCCCGCAAGGTGCAGAAATCCAGGTCATCAGGAAGGCCCAAAGTCATCCTAAGCTCGCTCCTATGCGCCCCTTAGAGCCACCCTAAACCCAAAATCATCAAGCAAAGGTGCTCTGGTGGGATCAGGATTTCTTCCAGCACCTCGTCCAGCTCGTCCACTGGTGCGACGATCACGCCGGCGGCGCGGCTGCGGTTGCAGAGCTTTAGGACGACCTGCTGCTGTTTAGGCATGCTTCTGATTGGGTTTGGGGTTTAGGGTCTTTGACACCTGATTAGGGGCTTTCGGTGCTGTTTGGGGTTTAAGGGGGCTTTCGAGGACTTCAGACTAGAGACTAGGTTTGGGTTTGAAGCCCTAAGCCCTGAACCCTTGGATCCAAGAGAAGCCTTGTCACCATCGTCCAAGTCCAAGTCCGTGGTAATCTGGTCCTGGCTTAACCGCACTTCCCGTAGAACCATTACAACATCGTCCTTTTCGTGTTCCCCTGCGTCGGAACATAAAGTAAGACCCTAATTCCTGGAGAGGCTCTTGTTAAAGCCAGGGGGGGGGCTTCAGTGGCCCGCTGGACATGACCTCCGGGATTTTAAGACTTGAACGGGTTATTTTGGCAGATCCTCAGCGGGTGTGACAGGGGTTGGGCGACCTTCGTGAGCTTTGGAAGGCGATGGATTTTCAAGCAGCGCCAAGGGTCTGCCAGCTCCATGGTGTAGTGTCGAGGGTAGCAGCACTGACCTGCAGGTGTAGGAGCTTCAGGCGCCCCACACGTCTGGTATATAGACAATGCCACCACACACACAGACCGATTCAAGCATACACACCTACCCCATTTAACAAGCACATAAACTGAAAGACCAACAAAATACACTTCCCTGATGAGGCCTGGCACGATGTGGCCGTAGCCTGCCAGCTCCATCAGGTCATGCGTCAGCCTTCGGCAGCGCTGGCGAGGCGAAGTCGGCACTTTGGGTTTTGGGGCAGAATGTTCAGGGGATCACAGACGTGTAGGGCGAACCTACTTGCACTGGATTCCGAGGATGGCACACGTGGGTCCAAAGCTACCCTTTCGCTATAAGGCTGCCAGGTCCATGATGGGAAATGTCATTGGTGCGCAGCTCAGGCACGGTGGCTGACTTCCTTCTACCGTTCATGCCTGCTAGGACTAGAAAATAGAAGAACCGACATTTGTGGGATCATGGATCAAGCAACCTGTTTCGGACACCAGGAGCTTTGAGAAAAACCGAAGGCCCCCCCAAGTTCCGAAGCCGCATCACCCGCAATCACCCGCAGCCCCGCCCCCCCCGTTCTTTCTCTAAAGGAAACGTGCCGAACACAGCTCCAGAATTTCTGAGCCGAGTCGGGCAACTTTTTGTCGGCCGAGATCACGTGAAACTTGCGGAGCACAACGCTCTCCTTCGTAAGGTTTGCTTTCGGTTAGGACTCGGGTTGCTTGAAATTCGGGCCCATCAGCCAGACACAACATCAGCCAAAGCTACCAGATAGGAAGCCACTCGCACACTCCATCCACGGCATCGACTGAGCTTTGAATCCTCCGAAGGCCGTATGAAACTCCGAAGGCCTGAGTGCATATCGCAAAGCCAACGTGGCCGGGCTTGACTAGACTAAGCCCGCCAGATCTAAACTTTAAACATCCGAAGCCCGCGATGAGGTACCCTAAGCCCTCAACCCTAAACCCAGTTCTCTTTGGCTCTCGCAGTCCTTGGAGGTGTACCTGAAGCCAGGTGGGGCATGTGGCGCTAAAGTTTTGGCAGGGCAGCTGATCCCTGAGTTGATGAGGCTTCTGAGGGGCTTCAAACGGCTCAGGACGCCTTCTCTCCACTCTTGCACCAAATTAACGTCTGTTAAGGGGCTCCAAGCCCTCCACTCTGTAGTACGTCCGCTCCCACGTGGGACTTTAGGCTCGCAACGCCCGCCCCTCCTAGGCTGTTTTTGAAGAGTGAGAGGCTCTGTCCTTCGAGGGAAGCGTCACTCTGAAGAGGGCTCAGGAATGCAAGAGGGCCCCCCTGAAAAACAAAACAAAAACCTTTCAGCCCCCTGTTGCCTGCTACGCAGCCGCTCCTGGAGTGCCGCGCCATCTCCACTGAACCTGGGCTCCAGCAAGTTAACTAAGGGGTTAAGCCGTTCCCACCTCCATTTGCGCAAATAGACACTGATGTACCTCTTAGTAAGCAGGATAAAAGCGGACCACCTGGTTCACATCCTAAACCCCTATAAACTCTAAAGCGACTCTTATGTTGATAAAGTGGGATAAAGCCGGTCCATCAGTCATTGGGCCTTCTCCTCACCAAACCGTAATGCGCCTTCGTTTCTGTAGACAAAGATGCATCAGAAAACAGCTGCCCAAGACCAGAACACGGCATGCAAAAATCAACCTTGAGCAACCCCCCCCCCCCCGGCCCACTGCGCCCGAACAAATTGAGAAAAAAAGAACATAACTTAAGGGCGCTCTTCAACACGAATCTAGTTTAGTTCCTCAATCGTTTCAATGTCCCTCTACAGCATCTAACGCGGCGTTTCGTGCACGTACAAAGATTCTGAAAGTAAATAGCTGAGTTCGCCCAAAGGCCCCACTAAATACTAAATACCTGTAGACAGCGAACGAGCGTACATTCATTCATTTCGTTCAGGCTCCCCCATTGTTTTGTCGCATCTACGCCTCAGACTCCTTGAAGCCCCAAGCCGGGAAGATTCTGACAATCCCTATGTGCTCATTCAGCTACCCAAAACATTCCCAAAATGGTCTGATTAAAATCGTTCCCTGACTGCGGTCCCAGGTGCTTGGAGATCCGGCCGTCCCCCGTCTCCAGGACGCGCACGCGCTCGAGGATGGGCTTGGAGCCTTTGGCGGCTGCTTGAAAGAAAAAACTCCCCGAGCCCGGTTTTCTTGCCGCCGTGACAGCCGAAAACCGTAAAAGCGGACGAGACCGTGACAGCGCAAAACAGTAGAAGCGGACGAGACCGTGACAACCAAAAACCGTAATTAGAAGCGGAGGACACCGTCACAGCCCAAAACCGTTAAAGCGGACAAAACCGTGACCGCCAAACACCAGCAACAGCGGACGAAACTGTCGTTAAAGCGGACGAGACCAGCCAAAAGCCGTTAAAGTGGACGAGATTAAAGCGGACGAGACCGTGACAGCCCAAAACCCGCAGAAGCGGACGAGACCGTGACAGCCACAAACCCGTTAACGCGGACGAGACCGTGACAGCCCACAACCCGCAGAAGCGGATGAGACCGTGACAGCGCAAAACAGTAGAAGCACACGAGACCGCGACAGCCACAACTCTCCAGGCTTTGTCTCTTTCAGCCCCGTGGGCCCCTTTCCTCTCTCCGAAGCACCCGAACAGCAGGGGCCTTTCTGGGCATGCCAGGGATGACAGGCCGTTGGTCCACAAGGATAAGGGTGGAAGTGATGGTTTAGGAGTTTAGGATAGTTTAGGGTTTTAAACCCCAGAGGCCTAGGGAGCTCTGCTACCAGGATAGATCCCTGCAGTTGGGCTTCCAGAACCAAGCAGAAGGTGCTCAGAAGGTTCTCGGAAGCTTTGGGCCTTCTCAGCCGGGCGAGGCGCACGCGCACAGCTAAATACAGGCCTCGTTGCTTTGACAACTTGTGTCACTTGAGTCTATACACTCCGACCTTCCAGTCATGTAGGTTTGAGGGCATGAGGGGGTTTCCACCCGTCTATCATATCCGTAAATCTTGTTGAACCCCCTTTGCAAGGACCTCCATGCCAAACCAGTAGATCCCCCAAGACTCCACCAAACCCGAAAATGCAGGGTGCCCGGCTGTCGTACTTCAGATCAAGGATGCCCCAAAACCTCGGCTCATGTTGCTTGGCTCTACTGCAGAGCGGCTGCTAGAGGCTAGAGGTGACACGAGACCATCCATGCATGTCACACGCAGCAGCAAACTGCCGCTCGTTTTGTGGAGTGAGTGTCAGAGCCAGAAGATCCTTCACCTGCCTGCCGACGGCCTCCTCCAAAGCAGGCAGCCTGAATTCTGCCTTCCTGCATGATCTCAGTCAGCAGGCCCAACATGTAGCTGCAGCCGCTCTTGCAGGGTTTAATCTGCCCTCGCTGCGGATCCCTTGCCAACCCGGTTCCAAGTGGACCCATGGGTTGAGGGTGTATGTGCTTTCGCTCTTCGGCCCTTTGTGTCTTCCGAAGCCATCCTAACAGGCTTTGGAGTTTCAGGCAGTGTTCCCATAAAGCAGGGGGCTCCGAACCGCAGCGGTTGTGACGCAAGAGGCTGGGATGTGGGGCACGTTGATGTGTAGAGAAGCGCTGGCAAAGCCACACAACTTGTAGCGTGGGCCCTATGTCAACTTTGGGATCACGCACAGCATGTCTGATCTTGGGTTTTTTTGGGGAAAGCTGCCAAGCAACACTGCAGGCAAGCGCTGGTCTTCATCCAGGGCCGGTGGCGCTTCGATGCATAGATCCTGGCAAAACGCACGCCGCGAGAGCGCCCAAAAATGGTTTGAAGTTTTAGGGCTGTTGCCTTTTTCTGGGGGTCCTGCAGACTAATTAAGGAGGGGGTTCAGAGGTGGGATAGTTCAGGGCTTTGCCGGATTCGGAACAAGATACAAGCTTCAGGGGCTTGAATGCTTAACTACCTATAACCCAAGCCCACCTAGGCACAAACACTGGCCGCCAGGGCTCTAAGTTCATCACAAAATCCAGTGCGTCGGGCCCTTCGACAGCCGTGATCCACGAATTGTCGGCGAACTCGTGGTCAGGATCCTGGGTCGCCCAAACCCAAACCCCCCAAAAACACGCATCTGCTTTATGGCCTGCCAGGCGAGGAACTACGTCTCGGATCGCAGCGTCGGCTTGGATGGTGGCTGTGGCCAAGGTAGACTGTCTGTTGTAGGGACTAGGGCTCGAATTTGGATCCAAAACGGGAAGCAGCCTTGCGTCAACGAAGCAGTGGGATACATGTTGTTCAAGGTGGCTTTTGGAAGACAGGACGCTGGCACGATCGCCAGGAGCAAGGGACCTTCACGCAAAAGAACCCCCGCACCCACCATGGAAAACACATGTAGTCGCAAGGGGGGCCGACCCTCCTCACCCCATAGAGTGCTAGAGCCCTAGAGCTCTCCCAATCCCTAAAAACCCTGAGCCTGATCTCTGCCCAGCAGCCCCAGCGCTTGAGGAGAAAGGGCAGCGCGTCCTCGGCTTTTTTCTTCCGGAAGAGGGGTCATGGGCGATGATGGGTTCATGGGCTCTCGCGGTCCGAAACCCGAGGCTGAAAGAGCTCCTTTATGGCGCTTGAGGGCGATGCAGTGCAATGATCTCTTTCTCTACTGATTCTTGAGCGGTGTAGCCTAACCTCACGTCGGCTTCTATGAAGTCCGATGTTCGTTTGGGTATCGATCCGAGGACCTGTTTACAAACCCTAAGCCCTAAGCCCTAAACCCTAAACCCTGAACCCATAAAGGAGAGGCAGGGCTCTCTTTCTCTGCCTCTTAAGGGGGCAGCTCCTCTTGAAAAATCTCAGCCCGAGGGTCTCTTGGAGCAGCAGCAGGCGGCCCAAACTCCCAAGGCGTTGGCGAAGTCCTGGTGCTGTTTTTCCGCTTTGCTTCTTTTGCCACCAAAAAACAGGCGCTCTCTCCCCCCGTAAAAACAATTCCACGAGAGGGATGCCTTCTGGGGTTGCTCTCAGCGCAGCTTTTTGAGGGCCTCAGCCTTTGTTTTGGAAGCATTCGCCCCCTGAACCCCGCAAACATCGAGTCGGAAAGACGTCTTCAGAATCCAAAGTTGCTGGCCCGCAGCAAATTTTAGGGGGGTTTAGGGATTCTCCGCCGGGCCAGTTCATAATCAACTCTCCTTCCAGGTCCGAACATCCCCCCCCCCCCCCCCCCGCGGAGGGTCTTGTCGACAGCTTGAAGCAAGTAGTGATCACCACTGGCACCTCGGAGACTTCTGAAGGCCCCCCTAGCTTCGTAGGGCCAGATTTTGAGGGATCGGGATCTTTTGGTTCGGTCTTCTACAGCTTCATGGGATTTTTGCGGAGTTTGCAGAGTTGAGTTGCGACTTGGGAAGCGGAGTTCAGGGCTTGGTAGGGATCATCATGAATTCCGAAGGGGCGCCCCCGTCAGCTGGGACAGGACCTCGCGCGGTATGGCTCTCGAGGGGCCCTCCTGCACCTCGCTGCTACCTTGGCTCAGGGATTTACTCAATTCGTATTCTGAATTCTGATGGTGAATATTGGTGACGATGTTTTGTTTCTATGCCTTCTAATTAGTTTAAACTGTTTTCTTCGTATTCGTAGGTTACGCAAGATGAAGACGGAATCAAATCCCTGTCCAACACTGTGAGACGTGCCCCTCCTAATTCTGTGGGTGGCACGAACACAAAAGGAGAAACAAACCAAGCAGCCAGGTGCAGGGAAACACTGGGACTACTCGGATCTACTCGCGCAAAGGGAACTGCGCGAAGGCAGCAAAGAGCTTCCACTCCCCAACCCCTCCCGCCATAATGATAAATAAGGTTCGAGCTTGTGCGCTGATGGGCTTGTTTCGCTTGGTTCGTCTGTGTGCAGCATTTGGCCCGGCCTCTAAGGGATCGTTCGAAGCCCACCAATGTTGAGTTCTGATGGCCGAAAGGATGGCTCGTAATTCAAAAAGCAATCACTCCCTCCCCCCCCCCCCCCCAATTCTAAGATCTGAAACTTCAGTCTGGGCCCGCAAACCAAGGATTCCCTCTCAAAAACCGTATGAAGCAGCCATCGAGGTTTTAAGGGGGGGTAGTCCACACGACAGCCCCCGGAGTTCAAAAGAATAACACGTAGAAGTGCTTCGGAGTAGTGCAAGCCCAAGGAGGCTCTGGAGGTAAGCTTTGAAACTTGTAAGGCTTGAAGCCTTCAAGATGCCAGGCTGCAGCCCAAAAACGAAAAAACGTTCTTTTCATGCCTTCCGTACTTGAAGTCTTGAAGGTTGTGCTTACCGGAAAATCTGAGGCCCAGAAGAGGCTGTGGAGGCCGTCCATGTCGCAAGCAACTTTGACCACTTGTCCCAAACTTGATTCTTCGGCTCGGCCCTCTTCCAAAGTGGTCCCAGCAGCCCGGCTCAAAGGCGAAGTTCTCACGGTCCGGCATGAACACCACTGCCAGGTGCGGGGATGGCAAGTCCTGCGGGCGCGAGAGCTTGGAAGGAGCAGTCTCTATGACTTGTTTTGGTTGGGGCAGTAGACTCAACCGGACCCGCATAGATGCCAAACCCCTGGAAGGCAAGGTGGGGCATGCTTGCAGCCTTTCGGACGCATGACTTTGCGGCTTGGAGCCTGAGTTCACCGATCACGCGTGCACACACTTTCGCGTCCAGGCCCCGCTGACTCCGACAGCAAACCACGACACGCTCATCGTTGCACCCCTAAGAGCTCGATATCACGTCAGCTCTTGCTGCATCGTGATCGTTGCCCGGAGAGCGGGTCAGTTACCAGTAGGTTGATAGACTACCGTGCAAGTGTCAGAAACACGCTCTAAGCGAGAACCGTGGAACCAGCCGGACGGACCGCGCGGGCGGCCCTACTTGGTAGCTGCACCCTGAACACAAAATCTCTCAAGAGCTAACATAACGCAGCAGTCTGCAAAAAGAAAGTTGAAACCCCAGGAGGTAAAGTGCCATCAAGAATGATATGATTTGCAAAAAACAATCTCAGAAACGCATCCACCCCCTGAGCTCCAAGTCCAATGGGCGCACGGCTCCTTCACGTTCTCCCAGCTACAGGTGCGAACTGCACTTGGCTCCCCCTCGCCTCCAGTCCTTGGCTTTTTTTTGGCTGACCCTTCTCCGGAGCGTTGAGGGGGCGAAAGCCCACCTGATTCCACGCCCTCCATGGCAAACCCTCCAGGCACCCAACCTCGCAGCCGGCATCATCTTTCGCATGGCATTGCCCAGGATGATCACCTCTCGATCAGGGGCCCAAAGGCCACAAAAAACCTCCCAGGGGCCCCAAAGCCTCGGCTCTCCTCCCCTGGACGCCTCTTGACTTCGGGGCCATTTCCTGATTTGTGATTTGCAAAGTGCCGTAGGTCCTTGACCTGAGACCCTCAAAGCCGCAAATGGGAACCCCCCGTCGCTCCCGCCATCTCCCGGAACCCTATAACCTTAAACCCTTGTTTAGGGTTTAGGGTTTAGGGTTTAGGACCTTAAACCCTTTACTTCCCTCAACCAAACCCTCTCAAGAGACCAAAGTCTGAATGTGGGCCTGGCAAGGGTCTCGGTCGAGCCAGGCAGCCTCAGCAACTTGGAGATTTCAGAGACCCCTACAATAGGGCACCTAAACCCTAAACCCTAAACCCTAAACCCTAAACCCTAAACCCTAAACCCTAAACCCTAAAACCCTAAACCCTAAACCCTAAACCCTAAACCCTAATGATAAGGGTCAGTCAAGGCACATCTCTGAAGTATCCCTGCGCGGCGAGGGCGCCCTCCACCTGGCCCAAGAGAGGTTTCTTCCGGAAATAAGTCTGGATTACTTACAAATCTCAGTCCCTGAGGCCTTGAAACTACCGACCATGCTTGTTGTGGAACTTGGCCCGAAACCCTGAACCCTGGAATCCCCAAAACCTACTATTTCCTTAAGAACCCCATATAGGATAATAATCCCTATATACTGCCCTCCTACAGTAAGGAATACGTTTATATATTTCTCGGGGGGGTTCTTAAGCAAGTAGTAGGAAGCCCTAGAAGCCAGGTCCATGGCGGCCTCATCTGTGGCGGCCAGAACCCAGATCACCCGGGGCCGGCCCGGTCGCCCACGATGGAGGCGACAGCCCCGTGCCCCTGAGACGACTTTTGGGTTCATGTGCAATGTAGGGCCTTAATAATTAGAACAGGGTTTTGAGTGTTATTGCAGTATATTAATAAAGGGATTCAAGGGGCCGTAATAATGCTTTGGACAAGTAGAGTGATATAGTGGCCATAAGGGAAATATTACTAGTAATTATTCCGACCCCTATAGTAAGGTACACCGCCGTGAGCCTGTCCATGTCTCAAAGCTTTCGGATTTGGCGTGGGAGGGTTCTCAAGGGCCTCAAGGGGTCTCAAGGGTCTCACGTCAGCTTGGCGCCGAGAATCCCAGCGCCACCTGTGCGAAAGCGATGCACCTGTCCAGGGATGCAGACGCCTAGAAATTCTTTACAGAGCTTCATGTGGGGGGTTACCAGAATAAGGGACCCCGAATCTAGACCGACTCCCTTACCCCTAAGTTCGGAAACCCCCATATGAGGGAATGAAATTGCCTAAAGCTGTCTTCACGTTCGGTCACCGCGGGCTTGAGGTTCGGGTTGTGTCACGCATGGTGGGACCGACGAGACTTCGAAGTAAGGTTCAGTTTCTTCAAATGCTGCGCCTGCTAGATCCAAAATGCCCCAGGGACGGCAGCATTTGATATGATGGCAGCCCATAAGCACATGGCCACCGAGAAACAAGATCCTCTTGTGGAGGCTGCAGACGAAACGCCCAAAACACAGGCCCTATCTAAACCCAATGCACGGAATCTAAACCGCTCCAATCCCCGCGCAGCCCACACGCAACAAACTTATCGGAAGGAGGTCCACCATCATGGCTCAGGGATTTCGGGTGCAGATCATGTACTAATCCCATCCCCCTAATATACCCCCCCCCCCAAAAGAAACTCGAAATGTGTTTTTATTACTAGGTGAATGTTTTTATCCAAATGTCATGTTTTGGGTCCAAAGGGTTTAGGGTCTAGGCTTCAGGGTTCTTACGAGAGCGAGCGAGAGAGAGAGAGAGAGAGAGAGAGAGAGAGCGAGAGAGAGACAGACAGGGAGGGAGAGAGAGAGAGAGAGTTCCACCACTCGCACTCACACTCGCACTCGCACTCGCACTCACACTCATACTCACTCACTCACTTGGTTTGAGGGTTTTGGGAGCCTTCAACCCACCCCCTAATTCGGAATGGGTTTTCAACTGTGGGGGTGAATTCAGGAGGCTTTTCCGGAAAGTGTTTTGATATTTGGGGGTACGTTTGATACGAGGGGGAAGTGATTATACCCCGAAAGCCCTCAACCTAATAGTGCCAGCTCCCTCTTCATTTCAATTCACAGCCTGCCCCAGGACAAGGCTCGGCGTTCCAGTGGTGGCTCTGCAGCGTGCAACTCACCTGTGGCTCGGTTTCCGTAGCTGGAGGCTTTACTCACCGAGCCGAAGTCCCCGGTTTCAAAGCCCCATGGCGCACTGGTGATTTCTCATGAAGGGTGAATGTCACCTTTGCAGTACCTTCGGCATGTAGCACCCAACAATGGTGCAATGACCCTCCTTAGAACATCTCTGTCACCCCTGAACGTGTTTGGGGCCCCCCTTCCCCTCGAAGAAGGGACGCTGTTCAAGAGCCACCTGGGGGGCTTGGGGGGGGGGGATATCCCAAGGCTTGCAAGTGGCTTCAAACTGCAGCCGAGCCGCGATAGCCTTCGCAGAGCTCTAGCAGTGACTCCCAGTGCTCTTGCTCATCGTCACCATTTTCCTGGAGAGAGACTTGGGACTTCTGAAAAATCTCCCCCCATGCTCTGGCTCAGAGCCACGATAGCAATAATACTTGGCTGGGCCGCACCTGAGCTGGACGCATTTGCAACCCATGGCGTCTTGGGCATCCACAAAACTGTCTGGGCTTTCGGGGGACATGACTGGTGCCATGGGTTATCTGTGCACGTAGTAGCTGAACATTAACATCATTTCTCTTCGCCATCCCTCAGCTCAATCGCCAGTTACGCGCTGTAAGGTAGACAAGTGAGTAGACATCTTCGCTTTGGCCTTCTGAGCCCAAAAAACTGGCGGAGTCATGAAAGGAAAGCCTCTGATGTAGGGCGCAATGCACGGGTAGGAGTAAGAGGTTACATTTCAACACAGCAGTTTCCCTATGTAACCCAGGAACTGAGCGGGTACCCGCTTTGGCTTAACGATGTTTAAGGCGAATGCAACAATGAAGAGTATACGGTGGCACTGGGGGATCTCGATCCATGCAACCCAAACTCTGATGCACAGCCCGAAAGCATGGAACCCTCGACCTTGAAACTCTCCAATAACCTACGTAAACCCAAAAACATCTTGACCCCACATCCTAAACAAGCTTCTAGGGGTTAGGCGTCCAGGATGCCAGGTTGGAGGAAACAGGGGTTTGGATAGGAACCTGTGGCTAATGGGGAGGGTTTGCAGGGGGTTGGGAATGTAGGGTTACAATCGGGCTTGTTGGTTTACAAACCTCAGCTGTAGGTCCCAAGCCACACGGTTTTAAGGGCGTAGAAACGTATCAGGTGTCTAGTGGCGGTGGTGGGTTTGCTACTTTAAGTGCTTTTCAGGGCTCAGGGTCTAGGGTGCTTGTGACCGTCTTGTAACCCCAAACCCTGCAAAGCCACCCTGCAGTAATCACCCTAAACCCTAAACCCTAAACCCTAAACCCTAAAAACCTGGAGCCCCGATCGTCATATTTCTGCGGAACCGCGCGCCCCTCTGGTCAAGAAGTCTCTGCGTCAAATTCGAAAGTCGAAAGACCAAACACCGAAAGTGATCGAAACCAAGCAGCTTACGGCAATCCCCAACAGAAAGACACCCCGAAGCTATAAAAAAACCCAAGGCCCCTAAGCCCTAAGCCCAAAACCCTGAGCCCCAAACCCGAAACCCCAAAGAAAGAAACCCGAAGCGGTTGGAGGACCAACCGCTGCTTGCAAGTCTGGAACGCGACGTGACCGTCTGGCTGTCCGGGCGAACAGTTCCCAGAATCAAGCTTAGGGTGCATATTTTCATAATATTACTAACATGAAATAAAATTCGTGGTAATATTCATGTTAACATGAAGTGTATGTAGCGTTTAGGTTTTAGATTCTTATGGGGTTCAAGACATCAGGCACAGGGTTTCAACGGGATGTTTCCTTGGCGGATGGTGCCATTCTGTTTTCATGATGCAAAGGAAGCTGTGATTGCTGTGCATCTGCCGGTGCCCCCCCTCTCCCCCTCTCCCCCTCGCCCTCTATGTACAAATCCTCGCCGCAATCTGCAGCTGCATCACTGCAGCCACTGGGCAGATTCGACCTGGCAGCATGCCATGACATTGAAAGAAAGGGCGTGTTTTGTAGGAGGGCCCCATATCAAAAGGCCCCCCTAAACAGCAGGGACCTTCATCTACAACAATCTGTCATGCATGGACTTGCCATTCCACCATTCCCGAAATGTCGCACTCTTCAAGGTTCTGGTTGCAGGCATGATGGAGGCATGCTCACCTGAACGCATCTGAACGCCGTAATGTACTTAGACCCTCTAAGACATGGCCAGGTCGGCAAAGTCGCACTGCGGGAAGTTTTCCCTGATGTAGTCGTTCCCCTGCTCCTTGGCAGTTCTGAGACCCAAATCTCCGCCAGGCCCATACCAATCCCAGGAAGCCCTGCATTGGGGCCGGCACCCAAATTTGCACTGGGTCGGGGCCGGTCCCGCCACACTGGGGTATATCGCCATACCTTGGTCTTGAGGCTTTCTGGCCTTTTGCTGGCTTTTGTGTAGCTCGGGTGTCTCATGAAGGTCAAAACTCACATGGCAATGGCCATGAACTCAGAAGAACAACTGCCATTGAACACCACAGTGGCTCCGAAATCGCTACATTCCAATGCTGTACCCACTACAACATAAGGAACACACAACCCAAAGAAGGAAAAGTGGTAATTCTGGAACAAGCGCTGTAAGGGTTTAGGGCCTTTAGGGCTCAGGGCTTTTAGGGTTTCGGGCTTTGGGGTTTTCGCTCTTTTAGGGCTTAGAAAGTTCAGGTTTAGGGCTTTCAATGTCTAGGGCTTGCAGGGTTTAGGGCCTTTAGGGTTTAGGGCTTTTAGGATTTAGGGCCTATAGGGTTTAGGGCATTTAAGGCTTGGGGTAAAGGG